TCATTGGCGTCCATTAGTTTGAGTGTTTTGAAAGTGGTTTTAGCACCTTTGAGCTCTTCAAGACAAAACTTAGGTGCTGTTGTTGCGAGCCTTACTGGTGGAGGGGTACTACTTCCAGTTAGATAAAATAAGTAGTCTATATCTGCACAGTGTATTTCCTGGTTCCTTTTGCTGTTGCATGGCCTTTTTTGATCATGAGATGTGTAGTCACTTTTTAAAATCCCAGAATTTGCTGAGTTGGCTGGGACCTACAGGGATTATTGAGTCCAGCTCTCAGCCGTCCAATGGATCACCCCCGAGATCACGCCATATGCCTGAGATTATTATTGCAACACTCCTTGTACTTTATCAGTCTTGGTGCTGAAACCACTGTCACTGGGAGCCTTTTTCAGTACCAAATTATTTTCTGTGTGCAGACCCTTTTTCTCATGTGCAACTTAAACCCTCCCCCAACACCATTTCAGACCATTACCTTGGGTTCCATTACTGGTCACCAAGGAGAAGAGATCAGTCAGTGCCTGTCCCTCTTCTCTCACAGGGATGTGGTAGAGTGCAATTAGGTTTTTCCTTAGTCTCCTCTTTTCCAGGTTGAACAGACAAATTGCCCTCAGCCACTCCTCACACGGCTTCCCCTCAAAGCCTTGCACACAGTATTTAAGGTGAGGCTTCTCCAGTGCAGAGCAGAGAAGGACAATCGCTTCCCTCAACCAGCTGACAGTGCCATCCCTGATGCCCCTCAGGACACAGTTGGCCCTCTTGGCTAACAGGGTACTTTTTACTCATATTCAACTTTACGTTGACCAGGATGCCCAGGTCCCTTTCCTTTCACTGCTTTCCTTCTCTAGTCTGTCAACACATCTGGGGTTTCCAATCCCAGGTGCAGAATCCATCACTTTTCCTTTTTTAACTTCACATGGTAGTTGATATCCCAGCCCTCTGATCTGTTGAGGTCTCTCTGCAGGACCTCCCTGCCTTTAAGGGAAACAACAGATCCTCCCACTTTTGGGTCACCTGCAGACTTGCTCATTGTCTCTTCTGGTTCCATATCCAAGTCATTTATAAAGATATTCAAGGACACAGGGCCTAAGATGTAGCCCTGTGGAACCCCACTAGTAACAGGTCTCCAGTCTGATGTCACCCCAGTCACTGTCACCCTCTGTGCTCAGCCCATAAGCCAATTGCTCACCCACCACATGATGTATTTATCCAGTTGTGGGCTCAACGTTTTGTCCAGAAGGACCCTGAGAAAGACAGTATCAAAGGCTTTACTGAAATCCGAAAGGATTACATCAACTGGCTTCCCTTGATCAACCAGGTGGATTATGTTGTCATAGAAGGAAGTTAGGTTTCATAAGCAGGACTTTCCTCTTCTGAAACTGTCCTGGCTGTGACTATTGAAAGCATCATCTTTAGGGTGGTTTTCAATTTTTCCAAAAAAATCCTCTCCATAACTTTACCAGGCACTGAAGTGAGGGTGACAGGGCTGTTTTTTCCAGGGTCCTCCTTCTTGCATTCTTGAAAATTGGGACAACATTCACCAGCTCCCAGTCAGCCAGGACCTCT